TGTGTGTGTGTGTGTGTGTGTGTGTGTGCGTGCGTGTGTGTGTGTGTGAAAACAACCAATTAGGAAAGTACACATTTCTAGTTTTAGTCTGCTATAAAAATTACTCATAATAATAGTTGTTCCGGTCACAGTGTGAACAGTGCATATTTAGTATGAGTTTATTACACACAAACACTTGAAACATAAGCAGAATTTTAAATAGGTTGAAAACCACGGACTACTTTAGTACACGAGTACATATTACTGAATTTATATTTTGAAGGTCTTGCTTCTAGAAACAAAAAATACATAGCAAATGATTGTAAATTCCAGTGTGTACTGAAGAGAGGGGATTGAATGTAAAGAAAAAAAGTTGAACATGAGAATATGTGATGTCTGAATTTGCAGTATGGCTACCTAACTTTGTTATAATTTCCTTTTCTTCTAAAATAAATAAATAAACAAACACTGCAAAATTATGGTAGCCTATTCATTTATTAAGTGTAACTTGTGTATTAAGTGTAAATTTAATTCTAAGTCCCAAACTACAACATTCAGGACTTCCCTCAACAAAGTACCGGTAGTAAGGTAAATTATAAAGCTTACAATAATTTAGGTTTATGCAAATAACTCAATAAAAATTTAAAGTCTTATTATGGAGTAGATAGCAGACCTACCTGTTGAGTGAAGATTTCGATGTGTAAAAAATACAAATGAAAAAACACGCAACGGAGACAAAAGAAAGGTAAGAAAACAGTTTCCACTTCAGTCAAACAGGATGTTGCCAGGTTGATGTTGGCAAACAGGAAAAAGGTAGTGGAGCCTACCGGCGGTCAGGTAAGTGTTATTTATGAACTATCTGTAGTGGTTTCCATGAGGTGACTGAAGTCCAGCTTACAGCCATTTTGGATATCAGAAAACGATGCGTTTTTCTTAATGGAAATTCTTCAGGATAGTTTACAAATCCCCGTTTGTAATGTTTTTTAAATAAAAGCAAAACTATTTTTACTAAGTCCAAACACACTCGGAAAGTCACCCAAGTACAGCAAATACGCATTCAAATGTTCCCTTACTTAAAAACAAATGATGAATAATGATAAACAGCAGCGGGTTGTCTTATCTCACAGAGCAGCTTTTGTCTGCGCACCAGCTAACCGGGGCTAGCAGTGCTAGCAGCAGCTAAGACGAGAAAAACCGACTAAACAAGACTCCTTCACGGACCAAACCCGTCAAACACCATTAACAAAAAGCTCTCGGTGATTCACGTTGTCCCCATAAATTCATTTTGGATACCGGGACCTCCTCTGACCTCACCGACGACGTCTTGTCATATTTTTAATTAATCCTTGTACGTCCAGTGTTTTCCTTCGTCTTTGCAGTTTCACCGCATCCGGAAGCGACAGCTGACCGGAAATGACGCACCTTGTTATCAGCGAGGGCGAAACGCTGTAAAAATGACGTACTTTACCTTTACTGTACTGCCAATTACAACCACGAATAGAACTGAAAATAGTTTACAATACTTAGTAAGGGCGAAGTCTAACAAATGTTAAGTTACACAGCGATAACTTACTCCATAAACTAATCTCCCAACTCTAATCAGGTGTATATGATAAGGAAAGCCTATGTAACAAATAATTAAACCCCATACTTGTATTCAGTTACTGTTTTAGACAGAAATAGCATTTGTCCTTGACAAAATTGACTTACTGGTAAGCTTTAAAATTTAACACATCAAAAATAAAATGTCTACAGGTAAAAAAAAAGCTTATTTTTAATTACTGTAGAATAATTTTCATTTGCAATGTTATTTGACCATATTTATCAGATGACTAGTTTGTAATACTTCTGAGAACACTAAGGCCATCCGAAATGCTTAAGTATGCAATTATTTGATTATCATAATTGAAAATTGGTTTATTAAATAAGAACAGTATTTACATGTTTAATTCTCTTGTAAAAAAAAAGTTATCAGTTGACTATGCGAGTTCAATGTTTCCTCAAAGTTTCTGCAAAAAATGTTCACAAGTCCAATAATAGAATAGTGCTTGAGTCAAAAATATTTAGCTATACAGTACTCAAAAGTTTCTTGTTACAGAGACTCACTTCCAAGAAGAAAGTCCAAATCAAACCCATTGTAACAAAAGTGCATTTGATCTGCAGATAACAGCCATTTCCTCATTTACGGCTCACGTCTTCAGGCTGTGAAGTTCTCTGCAGAGAACAGACAAACCAACCAGACCAGTTAAGAGGAAATGTGTGACAGCAGATTCCAGATTCTAAATACTCCACACTGTGTCAAGAAAACGACACAGCTGGAAATACAGTAGGCGAGTGAACCGAAGCCACTGTGAAAATATGCTTTTCAAATAAATGTGATTCAAACCATTTAATTCAAATAGATTTGGAGCTATGACAACAGTAACTCAAGTTAATCTGCGTTTTGTCTGAAGGCACCAACAGACTGAACCCACAGTAGAGCTACGGCTTTAAAACACTAAAACCTGAATTGTACGAGTTCAGAATGTATTGTGCATTTGTTTTAACATCTGAAAAAGCAGTTTTAATAGGATGTAATTGATAAAGCTTGTCCAACTTTCTCAACAAAATAATATGAAAACAAAACATACTGATAATTTCAAGGCTGACAACTGCCTGAGCAGGGACGAGACAGAACACTGAAGCCCATTTTGAGCTGTGGCAGCATCCATGGTACCATTTGTACCCACTGTTTTGGTGGAACTGAGAACAAATTCAATACAAGACCAATGGGGTTGCTATAAAGAAACAATCTAAGCAGCATAATAATAGTATACTTTCATTACAGCACAAGTTGTTTCGAGTGAGCTTGATATAATTACAACTACAATAAACACAAAAACAAGAGTAATTTAAAATAAACTTTGATTTTATTGTTTTATACTTACGCATCATACAATCCTAATTCTTAAAAGAAAAAATAATAAAATAAAATAAAACAAAAGAGAAAAATCTGGTGGTGTTTCTGGGGGACTGGAGTGCCATGGGACAAGAACTACATTAATGATCACAATAATTTTTCTGATATTTCTACATTTCATCTCAAATGACAAACTCGTCTTTGTCCATCTTTATTTCTGTCGTGAAACTAATGTAAACCAGTCGTCATAGCTCGCAGGTTCATCACTGTCAGTCAAAACCTTTGCATGACTTTAGATTATGTAAGACAAGGACCTGAAGACAACAAAACATCAAGACAGGAGGAAAAGTGTGTATTTGTACTGATGTAATCAAATATTAATAATGTATGATAGCCCCAATTGCTGGTAGTCAGTCAAAACAACTGTGTTGGAAAAGACAATCGATCAACCATTCTGCCTGCAAACCATCAACACGGGGAATCGTTTTAAAACTGACATCTCAAATGTATCGTGTGGTTTACATTCAAACTGCTCACGTCTTAAGAAAAAACTAAATATGAGCAGTCATTAAAAACCAAATCATTAAAGCTCCAAGATTTACAGAGCCAAGCAATCGTCCTACAAATACTGTAAAGCAAAATTACATGTTTTGAACGGAGTAATATTTTGAAGCCCAGCGAGTCTGAGGATTCTGTAAATTTGCTCGCAACGCCAACCCCAGGTCTCCATGAGGTGTAACAAATGTGCCTTGCCACCATTTGAGATCTGAAGTTCAATTTTCCGCTAGATGAGAGGAGATTTAATGGTGGTTTGAATTTATGGATTCCCAACCCATTCCATGGTGGTAGTTCTGGTATCATCAGAACAAGCCATCATCTTATCCACTCAGACAAGAATTCAAATTTAGAGAAAACTGAACTTTGTTTTTCAACGCAAAGCAACAGTCTGCATCAGCCTAATGTGGATAGACACACACCTTACATTTCATTTGAAGCTTTTTCTACCGTTGTTTTAAATTCTCATAAATATTTAATGATCAAGATCAAGCAACATTTACAGGAAAACAAGTAAAGAGTAGGAAGATAAAACCTCAACTGTCTCCCTGAATCTCAGTATCTTCCAATATCAGTAACAAGATAAAAGCATGAACTGGATTATTCTGTAAATGTGGAACAATAAGTTTAGAAGGATTTGTTAATCTGATTAGCTTTGTTAAACATACAAGTGGTGGACCGGTTACTGATAACACTGAATGTGACAACTTGGAAATAAAAGGAAAAATAATTAGGGGAATATATTAGTGCCAAATGAGGCACTTTCCTTTTTCTTTTAGATATTTATGAAAAGCACTTTAATACACTTAGTACTGTTCCTCACCTTAATCCGCCACCTCAATTACCAGGCAAAAGTCTACATTAAGATTATACTATATGAATTGGAGCATTATGTTATTTACATTTGGAAAACCTGTAGTCCTGTTAACTTGAACCTCGACGTTTCAGCCATGCGTTGTGCTACTGCCGAGTGGCCTTTTAAACATTCAAGCTCCATTTCAAACGGTGCAGTCTCAACAGAGTGCTCCATCTGTTCGACGGCACGTATGCATGAAGGTTACATCTTCCTAGAAGAAGCTGGCGAGTAGCGATCTTTGCGTTAGGGACTCGTCTGAATCTGAGCACAATGTAAAAGCACGGCACGGCGACAATCTGTACTGTAGCTGAGCAGAACATGTTTTATGTGTCGAATAAGTGCGACCCAGGTCAGTTTGCATTCAGCATGCGTCAGTGGTCTGCTGGTGGTTGGAAGAAAAAAAAAAGGTGGAGCTTCATTCTAACTCCGGAAAACAGGAAAGGCTTTTAAGAAAAGAACATTACCCTACTTCAGCAGAACATCTCATCACTCATACAAGGCATTTTTCTCTGCAAAGCCTGTTAAACAGTTCAAACATAAACTGAAAAACGACCAAGATGCTGAACAAAACCAAGCAGGTGTAGCACAGAAAGCTTGTGCTCTGCAGTTGACTCTGTTGTGCTTCCATAAACAAAACCTGGACATTTAACTGCACATCTTAAGTGTAACAGCTAAACTGGACTCTAATTTATGAGTGAGCTATGTATTTGTTTATTCTATGGTTATATGATTAAGATGGAATTACTTAAATATAAATGAAAAGTGCAAATCTAAACGATTTGCTGACACATGCTGCCAATCCTCCAGCACAGACCAACCAAACAATATAAAATAAATAAAATGCAATCACACAACTCAAGCTAACTAGAATATATTAATATAGATCTTCTGATGTCATACGCTCATTAAAACAAAGGAAACAAAAGATAATTCAATCACGCAGTTAGGTCAAGGTTCTCAGTCTCCCCCATCTTTTTCCTCCCCAATCAAAAAATGTTCATGCACCTAATATCCATACGAGTCGATATAAAGAGAGACATCTGGAAAATGCTGAGCCTTTGGGGTTCCATCTGTGATAACTCACAGAGTAAAAGAATAAGGATGAAAAAAAAATCTATGTAATCAGAAGTTGGCAGACTTTTTCTGTCCAAGAAAGTTTTACAATTCAAAGCCCTTAAAAAAAACTCATATGTGATCATTATTTCTAATTTAAACCCTTTTTGCATTCCTGTCATTGTCGGGTTGTTGCACATTTCATGCCAAATTAATTTAAACTCCCTACATGATTGAACAAAAAATTTAACTCCCACAATTCCTCTAAGTTGAGAAAAAATGGGGGGCAAAATAAACTGGCTTCCCTCCCCCACAGCAACACAAGTGTCCACCAGGCCTTTACTGCTTTCTCTCCGATTCTCAAACACTTTCACGCTAGCGCGCACACACTCACACAGATTCAGTCTCAGCCAATACCTAGAGAGGGAGAAGCTAGTAACGGAAATGTCCTGACTTTTGCTGCAACCACACATCCCACCCACCCCGCCCGCCTCAGTCTACCATGAACAAAAGCCATGATATCAGGTGTTTCCATCCAAGTCGCCACGCGTCAAATTCACAAAGTCAGAAAGACCTTTTATTGCACTTAGTCCTCATAACTTCTGAATTTTCTCAGCCACAACGATGGGGTTCTCCTTGCGTATGCGCGCAGCAGCTGCACTCCGATAATCATATGGACAGTCGTGTTTGTCAGAATAACGATGAATGGCACAGAATAGGTTACCGCAGCGACAGTCAAAACCTAAAGTAAGGAGAGAGAAAAATAAAACAGCTCAACCAAACAAGAAAACTTTGTGAGAACACCAACAGCTGCATATTGATTGTTGTACTGGTCTCTACAGACTGAGATTAATTGGCTGCACCTATAATAAGTGCCCCATGTAGGTACAGAATTAAATGTAAACATTTGATATTAATTTTACTCCAGTGCAAATAAAAAGAGAACAACATAATATAGTGATCTCTGCACAAAACTGTGATTGTATAGAAAAACAACATATGTGTTTGTGGTAGGGCAACGTTTCAGCAAACCAAAGCCAGGGTTTCTTCACCTATAAACCACAGGAGCTCAATGATTAGCTTGAATGTGTTGAAAATATTTTCCTTCCTCACCAGTAAGGCCCACTTTCTTCCGGCAAGAAAAGCATCGGTTTATTTTCTTGTTTTTATCGGGAGTTAGGTCACCATCGGAAGCTTGTGCTCCTTCACCTACAGGCTCTGAGGTTAGAAACAAACAACAACAAAAAGTGGAATTATTTGAAAGAACAAAAAGTATTAAATTAAAAACAAACAGGTCAAATTCCAGACGTACTCCCAAGTAAACATTAAATTATTTAAAATAAGCAGCGCAAAACTATTATTTGAAAGGGATAACACTTATGTTAGAACATTTATGGACCTTTTTCATTTTTGAAGCAGTATTTCCTGAATAAAATAAAAAGTGAAGAGAGAAGCTGAACGGTCAACAAGCTCATGAGTCCAAAATGGACCATGATCCTGATGCCACTACATGGAGCTGTGAAACTGCCACGACGCTGCTATCAGCACAGGTAAGACAGCAAGTACAGTAGTCCCTCGCTACTTCACGGTTTGTTTATCGTGGACTCGCTCTATTGCGATTTTTGAAAATAAGATTGGACATGATACACAATTGGATGATTGATGGATGACCCACACAATCGGCATGGAATTTTTATTTAAAAGAAAACATTTTAAATGGTAAATGGACTGTACTTATATAGCACCTTTCTATCTTATCCAGATACTCAAAGCACTTTACAACACAATCCGTGTCCTCATTTACCCATTCACACAGCACTCTACTAGATCTCTACAAAGCTAACTGAACAAATCATTCTAAAGAGACTAATCAGAGCTTTATCACATTCATACACTGATGGGACACACATCGGAGGCAATGAGGGGTTCAGTGTCTTGCCCAGGGACACTTTGGCATGTGACTGCTGGTGGATTTGAACCCCCAACTCTTGCATTGGAGGACGACTGCTCTAACCACTCAGCCACAGCCGCCTCAATAATTCTTTGTTTTTCAGTAATAATGAAAATTGTATTTTAAGAAGTACTCCAAAATAGAAAAAATGTTCTTCTATTTGTAATCTCTAAACAATATTAAGAGCAGAGGAGGCAGGGAGCTGAAATCATGATGTTTTGTGCTCTCTTAGAGCCTTTAGAAACATTGCTCAGAATATTGAAAGTGTGTGTGAAGGGTTTAAAACGCTATATATATATAATATAATATAATATAATACTTATTACTTGTACTATTTATACTTTGCGGCTTTTCACTTATTGCAGGTCTTCAGGGTACAGATGCCCCGCGATAAACAAGGGACTACTGTACTGTATATTATGGGACACTTGTTGCTTACCTGTGTTGCTGGACGTATCCTCCTCGTCTCCTTCCTTATCCTCAGCTCGATCGGAGTCCACTGTCCCCGAATCTTGGGAGATGCTCATAGCTGTCATCTGTTCAGTAACTGGGCTTGGAGAGCTAGGACTAAAATCATAACAAAAAAATTATTACATTGCATAACACACACACACAGACACACACAGACAGACATGCACAGACACCCTCCTAGATATACCAAACTTTAAATTAAGACTTTCCTTAAGTTTGTAAATATATATTTATCAGAGAAATGCATACATTTCTTTTTTTACAGTTCAACTACAAACTAAAACACTACAGTTTTTTTAATATTTGACAATTTGGAGACTTCGGTTGAAAGTCTCCAAATTGTCAAATATTAAAATCTATAAAAATTCACTGATAAAATACAAACTGTAGTTCATATGTAATTTTTGTTCAAATAAACATATATATTTGTGATTACAATTTTACTTTAATAATCACATTCAAGCTAATTTCTCTGATAGTAAATCTTTGGACCCTCATGGAGCTGAGTAAACGCCCCCAGCAGCCCATCAGTACCTTGTTGGTTGTTCCTCAGGTGGAGTTCCTGATACTTCTGTACTAAGCTCTGTGGTCATGACCTCTACACTCACACTGGCTGATCCTGGTGATCCCGATGGTGATGTAGCAGCTGTGAAGTAAAAGAAACCCATCCTAAAACTATAGACAAGTAAACCTGACACAAGGTGAAAAGTTAATATAAGCCACTCATTACTTTTGTTAAGTGTCAAGTTCTTGTCTTTTCCACCTTAAACAACCATATCAGAAACACCTGGTGTCTGTTAAGCTTTTTATCCTCCATCATCCCACCTTTCTCTCCTGGAGGACTGGACCTGCCTCCTCCCTGTTGTCTCTGCAGGTGTTCCTTGTAGCAGACGGAGCACATGCCATTGGTGCGGGGGTTTCCATAGAAACCACAGCCCATTGTGCAAAGCATTGGCACTTGTGTCTGATTGGTCTCCTGAGCCATGCTCTGACTGAGGGGGAAGGGGACCGGGAGAGGGTATTCCTGAAAAAAGATAATAAAATGGGTTAGCCAAAACTGTTATCAGTCCCTATATCTAAATACATTTTTTAAATTTATGTTTCCCATTTTCAGCTGAGTGAGCTTGGAGATTAGCAAATTCTGGGTTTATTTTACAACTAGTTCTGAACTAATCTATCACAACAATTCAATTCAAAAATACTTGATTAATCCCAAAGGGAAATTATTTGTTGTTGTAACTCATTATCCTCATTTCATTAAGAGATGTTATAGATACTGATGGCTGTAGGCAGGAAGGATCTCTTGTAAAGGTCCATCCCACAGTGGATCCTAAGAAACTGGCTGCAGATGCCGTCCGATCCGTCCACCCAGACTCGGGTGGCCTCTTGGTTCCCCCGGGCTGTAGGACCGCCCGAATGCCGGGCAGAACCAAGTAGGTATCGCTGCAGGCAAATTCAGAAGGCGTATCTGGGGGACCACATCTGATTGGATGAGGCGTATCCGGGAGGTCATATTTGATTGGACTATAGGAAAATGGGCGGGTCTGGCAAGCCACATCTGATTGGACGATAGAAAAATGGGCGTGTCTGGTCAGCCACATCTGATTGGACGACAGAAAAATGGGCGTGTCTGGCCAGCCACATCTGATTGGACGATAGAAAAATACGCGTGTCTGGTCGGCCACATCTGATTGGACGATAGAAATAAAGGCTGAACAATAAAAAGCTGTTTGTGTTAACCACAGACACGTTTTGTCTAAAAACAAGGCGTTATTGGCAGATTGTGTTCACCACAGGCATATTATGTCTATGGTGTTAACCGGTTCGACATTGGCGGTGTCTCAGGTTCAACATTGGCGGCGTCTCGGTTCGACATTAGCGGCGTCTCGGTTCGACATTAGCGGCGTCTCCATAACTTCTCTTTCCGCCTCTCTCAACACAGAACTTCCGGTTACATTTCAAAATAAGAGCAACATAACTGGGTAGTGGGGAGGGCTAAATGTTTTTTTTATATATCTAGCCATTACATTAAAAAACAAAATCCATTTTGGTTGTTGAAAAATGTGAAAATAGTTACAACTGATTCATAAAGAAAGAAAAATTTTAATGATACTTAAACTGGCCTTAGGACAAAGGACGTTGCCTTTAACTTCACATTGTCTTGTTCAACCTTTGAAATCAGTCACTGCAGATGAGTGATGGTCAGTTTCTGTAAGAGTTCTGCAACTGGAGCAGGTATTTCTGTTTACTGGTTAACTTCCTCAGCTGTCTCACATTTTAAGGGTCAGTCCTACTCCATGTTTCAGCTCCTTTCATAGATCAGATCTCATAGAAGAGCACTTCTAAAGAGCAAATTTAGTTTTTAGCATTTGTTTTGGGCCATTATCTCATAATAGGACTCATGATCTTTAATTGAGACCAGACTTTTTGGACAAATGGGAGCAGGTTTTGCTTCAGATGCTTCATATTTCATTGTACCCAGACCACACTCAAGGCAACCCATCAGGTGCAGCCTACAACCAAGAACAAAAGAGAATCTTCTTGTGTTTGACAGGAGATTTAACGTTGGTCCTTAGAAACCTTGAGTTTTAAAAAAGAGCTGACGTAACTTAACTAAAGAGCACAAATACAGCTAGCCAATCGGTGTTTGCTCCACACAAACGCCTATTAGCCAGAAACGCCCACTTTTGGCCTGCAGAGAACCTTCTCAGCAGAATTCCTCCCAGAGTGATGTCCACTCCTCCCAGCAGTCTGCCGAGCTCCTCGTCGCTGCGGACAGCCAACTGTAGGTGACGAGGGACGATCCTGTCCTTCCGCTGTCATGAACCGTGTTTCCTGCTAGTTCCAGGATCTCAGTGGTCAGGCACTGGAGCACAGCTGGCAGGTAGATGAGACTGCATCCACAGAACATCCTTTCAACTCATTTGAGATTTGTGGCTGTAGTTGTGATATTATTTGAGCTTTTGAGATGTTAATCAGCTGCTGTTGGTTGTAGAAAACTGCATTGTTGCCATGGTTACGCATCATAACAAATGTCCAAAACTTAAAAAGTTTCAGTAAAATCCTTCCAGCTGCACAGCATCCGATACCAGAGGAAACAATCATCTTTAAAAAATGTGCTTTAAAGTTAAAGTTTCAAAAAGCAAAATCTCAGAATGAAAGTAACAGAGCTGCTCCAACATGCAGACACCTGGAGCAGCGCAATTCTAGAGCTTTTTCCTGCAGGATCAATAAAGTTCTATCTTATCTTATATCTATATACACCGTTTTATCTTACAGTAGGAAAGGTCTGCAACATGTTTAGAATGTACCTATAAAACACCAGCTAATTCTTTTAAATAAAAAAATTAACAATTTTTCAAGTTGTGTATATATTAAAAAAAAAGAAGTTATTTTGTAACAAACTGGTGCCACTAAAAGAAAACAACTAAATAAATAAATCACGCACGACTAAGAATATGGACTAGGTGATTGATCGAGTTTGTTCAGTAACAATGCGCATGCATGGTTTGTCAATTAAAAATACTTTAACACAAGAAAGTGAAAACGCTTATTATATTCCATTGTGGTCCAATAAGTCTATGAAGTGTTCAAATTAGTATGTTCAAGAAAATTCATAAAAGCAGGGAAGGGTTTAGAAACAAAGTAGAAAAAGTCACCACAAATGCACCTAAAACGCAAGAAAACAGAGTCGTTCAAACCGATTACTGAACATCGCTTCTTCCGCTGCAAAGCAAGATGTTTTGGTCAGGAAAAAGTTACCATAAAAGGAACAAAAAGCTCAAGATGTGTCGGCACAAAGATCAAGTTCTAAACGCAAACGCCACTCTTACATCACACAACGCTTAGCAAACATAAACACGACATTGTTAAAAATCCTGATGAACAACTTTGGAACGAGTGCCGTGAAAAGAAAACAACCGTCGTCCTGAACAAACAAACATTAGCAAACAACCTCGAAATCCGCTTTATTTGTCTGACACCGCATACCAACGCAAGAAAATAATTAGGACAAGACTCGATTAGTGGCATTCCATTCAGACAAAATTCACACTACAAACAATTGCGCCCTTGTTTTACGAACACACCGACAAATCTGAGCTTTTTAAAACCGAATAGACGCTAGCGTTAGCTGATTGACGTTAGCTTGAGCTGCTAGCACAACCAGCCAACCCAAACTAGCGCTCTTCGCGGCGAGTTTAAAAACAGTAACACATCGCAAGGGTCTTCCCATAGTGATCTTACATGAAGACATTACCTGAAATTCAAGCTACCGGTAGCTGTCAATGAACTTAAACGACAGATTTGGACAAGTTGTGCCCTCAGCAGAGCGCGCGGCCTTCTCAACGCGAGCTCCCGACATTCGAAACAACGACCATGACGTCACTCTCATCGATTCAGGGTTATGGACCAACACAGACTGGTTTGAAACTGGATTATGTCATGTTTGCCAACTTTTAACATCCAGTGAGCACTTATTTCACATTTTATTGCCATTTGATTAAATTAAGACACCACTGAAACATTATGCATCGTTTTTATGCCATTATCTGATGTTGAATTTTATCATCTTCACCCAGACTGCATTATAACATCCTTTAAGCCTAAAACCATCTGCTGACTCCGACTTCTCCATTTATCAAGGCAGTTAGACATTTTGTTGAAAGAGAAACTGTTTCCAACATTTATGAAAAGATCTGGATATGGTTTGTTTGTATACGTAATATATTTAGATATTCTGTTAAAAAAACAAAATGTCATATCGCTTCTGGGAATTATGCATGATATTGTATTTTTGAAATATTTTTACTCTTTAAAACAAATATATTCACGCATTATCTAGCATCATGTTTTAACATTTGTACAGTCACCAACACCTCATTGTCTAAAGCCACTCAAACTTTATCTGCTTTTAAAAACACGTTAAACACCTCCATCATATTGTAGATTTAATTATGTTACAATGCGTTTCCTTAAAATAATTTGTATACGTTCAGTAAAAGGTAGTTAAATAAATTTAAAATGGGGGCAATAGCACAGTGAAAAAAAATACTCCAACAGAAACAAATAAGTAAATAAATAAAACAATAATCCACAGAGACACACTGTGCTGAATTTAAAGTTTATTTAACATCAGATAAGTGACAGCCCATTAATCCCTACCTTAAACCCATCAACATTCAGATACAAGATCAGGATCTAAATACTGAAACTAATGAAAAGCACTCTACATCACACTCTAAATGCTCTTATGTAATTTTACAGTTTTGGAATGATTTGAAAACTAAAGAAAAATCAGACATGGATTTATCTTTCAGAAATGTTATACTTTGTAAATACAAGTGCAAATACAGGAACTTTAAGGACACATGATCATATTTACCTGAAAAATATTTAATACTGCGTAATAAATGATGTCAATATCATCTCAGATCAAGATTTGAAGAATCAAAATACATACTGGATTACATAACAGTCATGGTGTATTTTGTAGAAAAAAGTAGTAAGGACCAAAAAATATCACAGACAAACATAACTATTCTAGTTGTTTGGGTTAATCTGCTTCATTGGCACATCATCTTTTTCAGATTTCTGAGCAACAAAAGGTCCAACCAGCCAGTTGAGTGGAGTGTTGTGTAGTAAATACTCCATGACACCATCCAGAGACTGCTGAACCTGAAACATGTACACAACATTAATCATTTCACAACATATATTTCACTGAAATTAAAATATATCATCTCACATCAGCCAACTCGTTAGCTTTTAAATAAAGATGTCTGCATTACTACTGCAAATAAAAGAGCTGATTGTATTAGGTGAGGCCAATGAAAAAAAAAAGAAATTGCATTTCCTGCAAAAATGCAGTGTGAATGCTTATTGCTGAAAAACAGCTGAACGTATCTTATAACGTGCAGAAATTAAGCTGAAATGGAAGAACAAGCCTACGTTAGCAGAAAAAAGCAGAAAGAACACATATTTGCTGAACTAGGTTTAAATAAGCAGAAACGAGCACAACAATTAGTAAATTACTGGTAGCTAAAAAAGCTGAAATTGGCTAAAAATAGCTGAAAAAAATAGCTGAAAAAGCAGAAAGCTTAAACTACTAGATGAAAGTGGAACGAGCTGAATTGTGCCTAATTAGGCTTAAGGAAGCAGAGATGAGCACAAAAATATGGAAATTATCTGAAAAAAGCAGAAATTAACAAAAAACAAAACAGCTGAACAGTAGCTAAAAATAGCAAATAGAAGTTTAAATTAGTTTAAATTAGAAGAAAGTGGAGAGAGCACAATTGTGCTCAATTAAGCTTAAAAAAGCAGAAATTAGCACAAAAAGTGGAAATTATCTGAATTTTTTTTAGAAATTACCAAAAAACCCCAGCTGAACAGTAGCTACAATAGCAGAAAGTAGCTTAAATTACCAGAAGGAAGTGCAGAGAGCACATTTTTGCTGAATTATGCTGAAAAAAGTTTGAATCAGTACAAAACAAATCTATAATAAATATAAACAGGAAAACAATAGTGTGAATGCCTAACAAGCATTCACACAGTACAACTAAATCTAAGTTGGAACTATACTGGGGTACACAGACAAAGTAAAACAACCAACATAGACGTCTTAAATCTTAGTACTTGTTTTAAATGGTGCCGGCTTCGCTCCAGAAGTTGGGGAGTGATTGTGCTGGTGTTCCCCAGAGAGGACTGCAGTTCTTCAGCAGCTTGCCGTGCACTGGTCAGCTGTTCCTGGACCGTACCGGGCAGACCCTGAGCACTTGAAACCACATTGGAGCATGCAGACTTCAGCTGGTCACTCAGACCACGCACCATGGACAGGGTCCGCCATTCCAGCTGCTGCAAACATGGAGTGGCATTCAAAAGCAAGACAAAACAAACGTTAAAACAGAGGCACCGATTGAAAAAAAACAACTCTATAGCTTAAATTAGTGCCACTAAAAGTGATTTTATTTTTATTAGATTATAGCTGATAAGAGAAATTTTAAGTTTTGTATTTAAATTAAAGAGCCAAGTCACATTTTATTCAAATGGAAGTCTTAGAAAGTTGATTAGGAAAGGCCGTCAGTGTTTGGAAACATAACATTTCTAACATTTTATTAAAAAAACAGTACAATAGATCACATTTATCCTGCATGTGTCTTGTTTCGTGTCCATTTCTGACCTCAGACTCATCTTTGGACCCATCTGGCTCTGACTCGGTCTTGCCCTCTTCTTCCTGGTTCTGCTTCCACTCGGACCAGCGCTGCAGCAGCTGTTCGGTGGCTCCTGCTATCTGGTGACTGGCCGTACCCAGACTGGCTCGGGCGCTCTCCAGCAGGTCAAAAGTGCTGGTAATCTGACCCATTGCAGCATAGGTGACATCCCTGGCTGTCCGCGCACGGAGCAGGGATTGCTCCAGAGCTCTTTCCTGTACCTTGGCAGAGAGTTTCCCCAAACGGACGAAGTAGCTGGGGCTGGCTGAAGAGGTGGCCACCTCAGAGTTGGCATGTTCAGCCACAGCAGCTGCCAAAGAACCACAGTACATTCATCTCAATCAGGTCTCAAGGTTCATCCTAAACCAACATTTTGCAGACACAGTCATCTAATCCAGTGACTGGGTATAGGTATCCATAGTTCATTCTAGAAAAGTTTCGAATACTGTTTGCTCTCATGTAACTTCATAATATTGATAAGCTTACGGTGTTTCACTATCAGGACATTCACAGCATTTGGGTGCCTAGATTTTGGTAAAATATGTTCGATTCCATCGGAGCAAAAACCAAAACATCCATCCATTTCTTTTACCCGCCGTTTTCTTTTCGGGTTGTGGGGAAGCTAGTGGCCATCTTCAGTGACCATTGAGGAGGATGAGACAGTGTGCACCCAGGACAGGTCGCAATTTCATCACAGGGCCAAAACAAAACAATTCTTATAATTATTTAACGATTTATAGAACAGTTGGAGAGATTTGTATTCTTTTCTCTTGAGCATGTTCATATTTAGCCTTATTTACTCTTGACACTTTACACATTTTTTGCAAGGCTGTGTTAGTAGGACACTGGATTGTAGTTTAAGGAAAAACAGCATGACCAATTAACACTAGAGCCCACTTCACACTTCATGATAATTAGCTGCTCACATAAAAATGATCTTTTTGTGCGTCAAGAATCATTACCAGCTCACGCCCTCTAAAGTTTTGATGTTCACAGGAGCTTTTCATTCCTAGTTTCACGCACTCAGGCTAATGGAAAAATCAAAGATGTACTTAATTTAGCTTCACTTAACACAGGTTTTCAAGGGTATTCACTTTTTTCTTGTGTATATTGTTAATTTTCTATGGAGCTTTCCTAATGCTGCTTTTGATTATTCATCAGATTTTTTTTATTATTCATGAAAGGTAATACTCTACTCGTGAAATTGGATATAATATTATAGATGCTACATTTGTCTATGACTTTCAGGTTTAAGTGATATTACACAAGTGTTGCAACTTCTGTGACAGTAAACCTAAACACAAAGCTGTGAATAGTTTTTCTTGGACTTTTCTTTTTACCATGATGACAACATAATTTAGTATATGTGACAAGCATATTGCATTGGTTGGTTGGTGTATTCTGAAATTGTTATATATAGCTGCTCATGAATTTTTTTACAGTCTATAATCAGACACCGTCCCTTTGGGCTTCATTGCTATTCTGGAGTATGACAGGTTTTCACAATAACATGACATCACTGTAGCAGGTGTCAAAGCTGTGACTGTTGGAAACTGCAGGGGCTATTCAAGCCAAGTAAACAGACGGCAAGTTCATTTGAATGTCCTCTCTTTCTCTCTATGAATATCACAAACATTCAGGTCTTCAGCCTGCAGCTCAGCAGAGCTCCGTTTGTTCCATCACAACCATTCTTCGTGATTTTTCACTTTAAACTTTCAGAACACCCCTCTCTGCCTCTCGGGAGTAAACAGTTCTGTTGTTTAATGGGCGAACAAGGATTTCCTGATTTGGTACGTGTACTGACCTAACTCCCTCTCAGAGAGCGGCAAGTTCTGGTCAACCCAGTCCTCAGATCGGCTGAGGGCCAGACCCATCCCACTGCTGACCATCTGGCCCATCCTGGTGCTCATGACAGTGTGGATACCTCCGCTGACTGCTGCCCGGGTCATCTCAACACCACCCATCACAGCCCCCATCACTGCATCTTTGGCTCCTGCCACCGACTGGTACACCATACCCACAGTGTCTGACACCACCTGAGGGTAAGAACAAGAAAATGAGTGCTGATGGTGTTTTTCTGTGCGACTCTTATTCCATCATTAGCTTGTGGCAACAAGATTAATAACTAAAACTACATTTGAGGGGTATAATGAAAGTAAATAATTTGATTTATAAATTTTACTGTAACATGCAGCGAAAATGTAAAGAAAGGATCACAAAAAAAAAAATCAAGTCAAAAGTTGCATTTTTCCCTCTTTAGTACACTGTAGAAACATGCATCAGGTGTGACCTTATCTGCTGGTTGGTGAAGAATCGGGAGCTTTTCTTCCATCTTATCCAGTCCTTTCAAGGCATACTCATTCACTGTGGCCACTGAAAAAATTTAAATCCAAAAACACACTTAAAATATAGTACGATTCACTGTTCACAAAACAAGATTCACAAACGAACGTGTAACTGAACATAGTATAGTAGTCCCTCGCGATTAGACTTTGGCGGACTCGCTCTTTCACTGTTTTTCAAAGTAAAATAGTACACAAGAAAAAAATATTGTACATGACACATTGTCAACTTTATTAGTCAAGTGATTGGGACAGTATGGGATACAGTAAAAAGTAAAAAAAAAAAAAAAAAAAAAAAAAAAAAAACAGACAGGTGCCGCTATTTTTTTTATGTCTATATTCTGATTTACCTCATTTTGTATTTTGCTTTGTGTGTTACCTGTTGTTTTGGCTGTACAGCACTTTGGTTGGCCTTCTTGCTGTTTTAAGTGCTTTATAAATAAAGTGGTATGGTATGGTATGGTATTGTGTAGTTCTCCCTCAATAAGCTGCACTATCGCCACTCAAAAGGACTACATTTCCCAGAAGCCAACAGTGCTTCCAGCCGTTGCCTTCTGCTGAAATGGAGGGAAAGTTTTGTTCTGATCCGAAAAAAGTTTTGTCCTTATTCATAGTGGCTTCGGTGCCCAGCGGATGCAGAGAGCTGAATGAAACCCACTGGGGACTGGACCAGAACCGGACCTCCAGACTCGTCATCGATGAATCAGAGTGCCGCCCGCCAACCTTCCGAGCGGGGAGGCATTGCCCGGAGGTCTGGCATTCCCTCCAGAGCCCACCGGAACTTTTTTCATCCAAATTTGGACTCGATCTCGACCACCATCTGGTCCCGTGCTGGCCATCTGAATATCCGGAACGTAACCTCCACAATAAACGAGGGACTACTGTACTTAACACAAACTATTCTTATTTTGCATTTGCAACTCAGTTTCAAATATGGGTGCCCACATGTTTTATGTTATGTTTTCATTTTTACTTTATGAGTGTACACATGTTTTATGTAATGTTTTCATGTTTACTTTATTTTACTTTATTACTATTCGCACCTTTATGTCGAAGCAAATTCCTAGTTTGTGAACCTCGTTCATTGACATGGCAATAAACTGATTCTGATAAACTTTTGGTAAATGAACAAAACTTATTCCATTATTATTTGTTTCTAACCTTGAGGTAACGACTTTATGCTCATTTCACACCTTTATTTTGCAACTGGCTTGCAATTGACTTTAATAGAATGTTTCAGAGTTGGACATTCATGTACTGCAATTGCACACATATTACATCACATTTAGCCGAGAAAATAACCTACGCTGTGGTTCAATCATGTCCAGAATGGGCTTGGACCCCGTGCTGGCAGCAGCTCCTAGGGTTCGGACCCCACTCTCGGCTACATCCATCACTCCCTTCAGCAAAGGCACATGGTCTTTGGTGCTGCTGTACGCACTGGAAACCGCCTCGCAAGCTGAACTGACCAATGGGAAGTGGCTCACTCGCGAAACAACAGTCTAGGACAAGAATGCAATCATTATAACAACTTAAAATGCAAAACACAAGCATGTCTGCATTACATATTGCTTTTTTAATAATCTGTATTTTTAGATGCATCAGTCACACTGAATTTGATCAAAATTGAGAATTGTCAAACGTGTCAAATGACATTATAATATGCATTAGATGTGGGTGTCAGGCTTCTTCACCTGCTGCTCTCCATTAGCCTCTTCTGTTGCTGCAGCTCCAGTCTCATTAGTCTTCCCACTGTCTGCCATTGTGAGTGCTGGAATCAGTCTCTAACATGAAACACAGTCAGTCAGAAACCAAGAATCACCTCTTTGCCTTGGGTGCATGATGAAACACAGCTTCCTCCTTCAAAGTCTTTGTTAAAATGTACTTTATCTTGCAGGAATAGCTGGCCTGTCAAATGGTTTAACGCTCACAGGAAGGAAACTCGGCCATATTAAATTCATTTGTCAACACTGTGATGCAAGGAGGATGAAATTCATCTGGAAGAATAAAGCAGTGCTACCATGCAAAGTCTAAATGAGACAAGTGGATATTTGGAATTTGGTGCTTTTCTTGTTGACTTTGCACAGATCCACACTTGTATTTTAAAAACTATAGTACAGTACATCAATAAAACAGCCCAAAATCTAGAAAAAGCCCAAAACATAAGAGGCTGGCAAATCAGGGTAAAGAAAAAGACCGAGTTAAATATCTTATACGCACAGACCGTCAGAACGATAAACTAACATAAGCAGGGTTTTTTAATCCGTTTGACAACTTACTTAATCATTCTTTTGGTAACTTTCAAATTATAACCAATTGTATTAAATGACTGAAGTATTTTCATGTTTTATGAGAATGTTAGACACAAAATGAGGCCAGGTCCATTTTTTCAGCACAGCTCCTTACCTTTGTCATGAATCATCATAGTTTCTTATCTTCATAATAAAAAGCTTAGTACCATGACAAACAAAATGAAAGATGAAAAAAAAAATCTTGCAAACTGATTAGTCTGTAGAAGATGGTTTGAATTCAAATAGGTTAGAGTCTGAGTAAACCCATGAATAATGGTAGTACCAGCAAACACACAGAGAGTTATTGCTGAGGATCGATTGTTCACACGCTCTTGTGAAGTTATGCAGATAAAATGCACCTCTGATATTATTCATCTACATAATACTGCTAAATAATGATGTGTTCTGGCTCCAACTAAAAGGGATTCCATTTAACTTCCAAGCCTCCTATAAGTAAAGAACAATTTTGCCAGATTCTTGCATCTGAACTGTGAACTTGCTACAGTTATAGTCATGTCAGATTAGACTGTTGGTTGTAAGTTATGTTTATTTTACTTAGTAAGGGCAACTAGTCCATTAAGTAAAGTGTTTATTATTCAAAACATTAGTAATTTAATCCTATTTTGTTTATATTTACTGTAATGACAAAATTAATTTGACAGTATATTTTACAGCAGTAACCACTGTAGTAGTAGTAGTAGTAGTAGTAGTAGTAGTAGTAGTAGTGTGCACTTTGGGCTCCAACTAAATCCACTATGCCATTGTCACCAGTTTATTTTTTATTGTTGACTAAATATTATAGGGATTTAAGAATACAAACATGACAGTTCTTAAGCCCCTTCAACACTAACCTTTCAATCTGGGCCAAAGACACCTTTTTCCTGCATCACTTTCATGTGTGAAATTAGGGTTGGACAATAATTTGATATCGATATATGTCACGATATACTTTTATTAAATAACGGTGATATGAGTTTTAAGCACATTTTCAATATTTCAATATGATTACAGCGTTTCTTTTTCTGTTCGGGTTGAAGCGGCCACTTCCGTTTCAACCCTGACTGAAAAAGCCGCGACACAACTACGTAAGTGCGTGGTGACGTAGATGTTACGCAGAGCTCGAGTCCAGAAGGAGTCGGCAGCGGTAACAGGCTAGGCTAATCTCCAACCCGCATTAAGTTTTTGCTTCAAAATGAGTGCCCATGACCGTCATTAGAGATGCAACAATCCAATACCAATATCTGTATCGTACAGATATCGAAAAACTTCTGGATCGGGTATCGTGACAATGTGACCGATCCATGACTGGGCAGATCTATTCACTCTAATTCTATGCTTTGTGTTCCGAGTGACGTCACGCGCTAGTGTACTGACTGAACAAATTAAAGTTGTGTTGTTTTTACACGTTTGACCAAGCTTGTGAAGCTCTTGGTGTGTGTGCTGTTGTGATGCAGAGTTTTCAATAAATTTGTAATTCAGTACAATCGTGTCTGCGTTTAACAAAACAAATGTTTTAAGTTAATTCAGCACCGAGTTTGTAATCTCAAACATCCAGGTAGACAACAAAAATGGCTAAATCATGTCATCTGATTTAGCCATTTTTGTTAATTCAGCACTGTTTTTCTGTATCGGATCGGTATCGGGCGATATCAAACTGTATATATCGGATCGGAAGTGGGGAAAAAAAAAAAAAAAGTGGATCGATGCATCCCTAGTCATAATGTGACTGAACAAGCTTTCACAAGCAAAGAGAAAGCGGATGACATCACTGATAAAAGAGGAAAGACTAATTTGGCGTTGTGGAAGTGGTTCAGCTCTCTAAGATCAGATCAACGGCAGGTTTCAATGTGCTGCAACATGTGCTGGAGAGTCGTTCCAACTAGTGGTGGGAACACAACTAACTTGTTCCACTCGATAGAATATGCTGAGAACCAGAAGATGAAGCACACGTGTCCCAACGTTTAAAAGGTGAACATTAATTTATTTGTACAGTTTGTACAATTTTTCTGACACTTTCATATTGTTTATATCGATATCGGAATTGCATCGTTATCGACCGAAATTAAGAATTATATCGTGATAAAAGTTTTGGCCATATCGTCCAGCCTTATGTGAAATGACTGAGGTAAAACAGGAAGGCTGCTGCTGACTCAGCATTGTTACACCACTTAGTTGGAAAAGTTGGTAGTTACAGAGCCAAGTTGCTAGTATCAAGTTGGTGTGCAAGTTTTTTTTCTTCCCCATTTTCATGTTTTTAATCTTCAGCCAAAGATTAAGAGCATGTTAGGAATTTTATGCCTCCAAAACCTATGTTGTCACTTTCACCACTTTATTGTCTGTCCAGACAGGTCTCACTTGTAAATGAGTCTTCGAGGCTCAATGTGATTTATCTGTTTAAATAAAGGTTGAATTAATGAATGAATGGTGAGTAGGTGTGAAACGGGGGGACCAGCAGCACATGCAGAATTTTGTTCTAACCTATGGCACAAGTCCCACCATGTTTAATGTGTGAAAGAATGCACAGATGCAAGAGTTGATCACCCTGACCGGTTCATGCTTGAATGATCAATGAGGCATGAAAAAGAGGATCGTTTTTACAGCCATATGGCAGAACCACTGCGTGGAAGGGATTTCAAGCTTAGAGTCGTTCAAGAAATTAAATGTGAGGAACTTTGGTTTCACCATGCTGTTAAGGTGAACAGAAATACTGGTGATATTGTGCAACGATCCCCTAGAGGTCACGATGTAACAAAAGTGACGAATCTATGCAGCTTTTTAAAAATGTATTTCAAAGACTCTTTGAAATTTAGTACTTCAATTATGAGATATTGTTTTCTAGAACGTAAACACTTGAGCTTTACAAACGTAATCTCTTGACCACAATCTCAATCTGGGTGTATCTATTGCAATAAAACCTGTCCACTTGTGATTGCAAGATGTTGTGGCTCATTATTGACTGTGATGTCAGCTCAGCAGTCCTATCTGCTGAGTAAATGCAAGCAGAAAGAGTGACGACAGTTCTGTAGCCCTGCAGGGAACTTCCCAGTTTATCTTTTCTTTAGTAAGTCCCTAGAGCAGTTTGATCATCTTTAGCCTAAAGTCCAACAATGCAGAAAATCCCTCCTGCTGATTCATTCTAGTGGTCTCTTATCTTACTTTTCTGCCTCGTATCCTTTTTAAAAACACAATGAAGGAATTTAAGTTAAAAAAAACCATTTCCCTCTGGTGCTCACAACATGTGGATGGCATCTGTTTTTGTACCAACAGATGGCACATGGAGACATAAATGGATTCCTTCTGTCTTTACCGAGACAATGTTAACAAGTGTTTGGCATGCTACAACACAGAAGCTCCAGAAGGACATGAGCTCTCTGATATGGGGAAATGACCCCCAGTAACATGAAGCGAGCTGGAACCAGACTGAAATATGTTTTGCTACATCAAGTTACATCAACCTGACAAGAGAAACCGTTTGTAAAGACAAACTGTGCTGCAACAAGCTTCAACAGTGGTTGACACCCTTTTAGAAATGTGGTTTAATCATTTAACATCACAAATGTCACAATAAAGAAATGCTAACGCACTTTAATATTACTTTCCCTGATGCTTTTATGAAACTTGTCATTTCAGACTTTCTCTGGGCTCTGTGTGAGAGAAGATTACAATTCGTTGCAAAAGACTGGTTGAGCAACCCGTTTCTTTCCCCAAGTCTCAGTTGGCGACAACTTCACGGGCTTTATTACAAATCAAAGTCTGACTCTATCTAAGCTGAGGACAAGTGCAAGATAAACCTGCAATAATTTTGTGGCACACGTCCAGATAAATAAAAAAGGCAGTTATGCAACACACACTTTTAGTAATTCAGAAATAATCATCTCACTGACAACTGAATCCCGTAAAGCACTCATGAAAATCCCTTCAAGCCTCCTCATAAAAAACCCTCACATCCTCACAATGTTGAACTAGAAAACAGTTTGTCAAAAGGAAAAGCATACAACACACCCTGTAAAACCTAAACCCAGTGTGACCTCTGATACAGCAAGGCTTAGGGTATCTTGTGAAAACCATTGACACTTACCATATAGTCTCTTGCTAAAATAAACGAGACAGAAAAAGAGACAAATCACAGCTGTTTTAAGGGTTAAACTAACTACTGCCATTGCTTAATAGACCTAAAAATGAAATAATAATCAAGAGGGCAAAGGTTAGTCTTTAAAAAGTAATTTCATGTTGCTGAGTTCATTCATACTCATCTGCTCACACAGATTCATGTTCGTGCTGCTGTTCGGTGTATTGTTATGCTATTTTATGATAATAGTACTTAGTGCATTTTTATTAACATTTTTCTTAGTTCATATCTTAGATCTTATTACCGTTTTTCTTTTACATTTTAATACTTTTGTGGGATGTAACTGGGACCCCATTACACAATTTTGTTCCACCACATGTACCACATGTGGTGCGAATGACAAAGAACCTTGAAAAACTGCAAGTGTCTTATATATTTATTTATTTATTTTTAATCAAGAAAGTGTCCATTATCCAGAACATTTATGAATCGGACTTAAGGAGTCACCTCCAGAGGATCAGAGAGGCATCCAACAGTGGTCATAGGAATATTAGAAATTATATAAGTGATATGAGGAGGAATAAAATCTCTCATCCTCTACGACAGGGGTACTTGAAGGTCCACAAATACACTTTTCAAACAGTCAAAAGGTCCAATCATTATAAACTGGTCAAGCCACAAGCAAGAATCTGACATGAGATCTTGTAGTTTATAAGATGACAATGGGACAATGACAAGAGTCTCAGTGGGACCAGCCTGTATAAATAAAGTTGAATGAAAAATCAGTTATAGTTAATTATTACCCAAAGATTGAAATGGAGTAAACAACAAAATTATATTGTCCAAACTTCCTTTTAGGCAACTTGTTAACATAGAAATCCTGATAGAAACAAGCTACAATGAATGTGTCATCGTTCACTTTGAGGTTGGTGAACTTTAGCCCAGATGAGGAAAGAAAACATTACTTTCACAAACAATAGCCGACTTTTAACCATATATTTATAATTCATTATTATCATTCAGGTGATGCCGTTTTCAGCATTACCGAGTAAAACAGAGTTAGTTGCCTTTTTCCAATTTCAAGAAGCAGCAACGCCCAGTTTTGTTTGACCAATTATTGATTATTGAGCATGCATCAGGACTTAAAGCTAATATTTTTAAGCAAGCTTAGCATCAATTGAACAGCAAACACAACAGAGGAGTTAAGTTAGACACTAACCTCACTGTGAGCCTGTTGGTTCTCTGTCCTGTCGGGATTCTTGGTGTGAAAATTGTTAATGAACTGCTGCTGCTTTCAGATTAGCTTTCCAGAGTCGAGCAACAAGTCAGGGCAAAGGGGCGGGGTCTTATCAACTTTCAACCAATTCACAAACCGGAAGTGACGCCACCGCTCCCATACTGCGACTTCCTGTGATTTAGAAACTAATAGCATTAGAGATAAAATAAGGGTTTCTGTCATCAACTTTGATTAAATATTCACTATAAAAAGATACATTAGCAGCTGAAAGATTCAGAACTCAACAAGGACAGACCACACTATGCACCTTTTAATGTTAATATAAAAAAAAACCTAGTTCAAGTCTGAAAATAGTTTATGTGAAAATAAAGTTTATGTGAAAAATTACAAATTGACCCACAAAGATACCATTACAGTTTCAAAACATTTTATTTTCTCTTTACCTTTTTTTTTCTTACAGAAGATAAAGCTTCTCATAAAAATATGTCATTTAAGGAGCAAGACATGGTTTTGAATCGTTGCAGAAAAAAAAGCATGAAAGAAACTCGATAATCATAAAAAAAAAAATGATTTGCAATGAATTATAATATGAGGATATAACTTGTTTCAAAGCTGAGTAACAAAGACTAATTTTATAATTTTGTCAAACAAACAAAAACACATGAAACACGTAAATCAATAAAATACTAAGTTAGCTGTTATTTGTTTGTTAGAGTTAAGTTGAGCCTATTAAAATGATATTAAAATTAAGATTTTTTGAGGATCAAACTTCAGATTGTCTATTTTAATATGTTGAATGGTAGATATAGAGGCTGTGGAGAAAGTTGTCCAAACATAATATTTTTCAAATCACACACACGCACCCACACATATTATTTAGCGTTCATTAGCATTTGTTTAGTGTATATCTCAGATCCTTATATACTTTTTCTTTTTATACTTTGTGTTATTTCTATTTTTGGTAACTGGGACCCTGTGTACACAATTTCATTCCACCTCATGTACCACATGTGATGCGAATGACAATAAAGAACCTTGAACTTAAATTTGAACTTGAACACATGTACGCACGCACACACACATACACATATGCACATGATCACAAATCATCTTTATACAACTTGATAAACATATGAACTTTGTAAGAATCAGTGAAGTTTTATTTAGTTCTTCACACTTGATTCTCACTGCTGGTGCTGATGATGTCACAAGTTGTAATAAAATGGTGAAGAACTCTTTGGAAGTACTCCTATATGTACAATGGACCTTTTCAGGAACAATTTTAAACCAGTAATCATATATAATTGACATCATGACTTATGGCATGGTGGCACTGTTGGTAGAGCTGCTGCCTTTCAGTGAGAAGGTTGCCAGATCAAATCCCGGTAGAAGGCCTTTCTGGGTGGAGTTTGCATGTTCTCATCGTGCATATGTGGGTTTTCTTCAGGTAGGCTACTCCGGTTTCCTCCCACAGACCAAAAACATGCATGTTAGACTGATTGGTAACTCTAAATTGTCCCTAGGTGGGAGTGAGTGTGAATGGTTGTTTGTCTTGTTTGTCTCTATGTGTCCCTGTGATGGACATGAGACCTGTCCAAGATGTCTCCCATCGCTCATGACTGCTGGATATGGGCTCCAGTGACCCTTCCCGACCCAAAAAGGAAGAAGCGGGTAAAGATAATGGATGGATGGATATGGATGGATATATGAACATGTTAAATAACACGTTTTAACTTTTTTGAAACGTTCTTATTTATTCCTTGGCCTTTTTCACAGCCTGAAACTTGCTTCTGATTAGTTTATTTTATGTATTTTATGTATTTATTTTTTTCATTGAATGATTTTATTGTTTTAACTTTTCTTATTTTTTGTTATATGCATTTAAATGTGCTTTGATTTCACATGTACAGCACATTAGTGTGACTATGATTGTTTCAAAGTGCTTTATAAATAATGTCGTTAATACTGTACAGACATATCAAGAAAGAAAACAGAAAGATAGTTTCTAAAGACAAAACCCATTGAATGTGCCCTTGGTTCTTCAGTGTCATTTAATGTAGCCGTCCCGTTCCTGAACAAAATAAGAAATAGGAGGTCTTTCCTCCTACAAGGGAACAGCAGTTACAGCTACCAGTTTGTTCAAGTTCATGACACTGAAACAGAAAACCTGAGGGTGTGGAGAAGTCGACAGATCACATTAACTTAGAGAAAATAGCTACATCATGTTTACAAGGGAGGGTATTGGGAAAAGGCCACGTTTCTTGAACCCTACTGGACAAAATTTATGTTTACTGGAAACTTAAACAGACCAATTCTTTATCTTTGATAGGAGAACATAACTACACCAGGCTGGGAACATTTCCATTACGAAAGAGGGACAAGATAAGAAGTACACTTCATCAAGAGAGTGCCTTTGAAATCTTCAAATGGACCTTTGCCAGCTCAACAAAGAGAAAAAAGAACACGAACAACAATAAAAAAAATAAAAAAAATGATATGTGACCTGAGTGTCCAAGAAATATTTCAAAGAAGGAAAGGAAAATCTGATTTAGCCTGAGGATATAACACTCAAACACAACATGAAGCTCAGTGAGGCAAGCAAGCTGCACCAAGACCTTGCAATGGAGAATTTCAGGTCAAGGCACAGCAGCCAAACCGAATCTAAACTTTAATAGAGTTTTCTGTGTGGACAGTAATGTAATGAGTGAACAAAGCCATCAAGGTTTAACTGGAAAGACTGCCTCTAAACAAATGTGGCACCAACACCTGCACACAGTGCAATCCCATTATCCCTTTCTTGGTTTTTACCACACATTGATTCATGTGACTGTCTGTCTCACGTGATAACCGAGTTGCTAAATGACCCACATGTGACCCTAACAAACTGCATTATGAAGCAAAGGACACCTCTGAACCCAAAGACCATCACATCACTCCCTTGGAAAAAAGACTAGAACTCCCTACAAGTCAGATCTGAGCAAGCCTCTTGTATGAAATGTGAACTCTCCAGTTGCTTTTAGTGTGTACTCTTAGAACATGCATGCTATTGGTATACGGTATATTAATATTTAAATACTTCTCCATGTGGGCAGAAGACATAGTCACAGTTCCTCTATTGAACCCTTAGAGGGCAGTCTTTACCCAACAAGTGAACTTGATCTATTTTCTTTTGCAGATGCTTTTCAACTCTGGAGCATAGAGCTTATCTTGCAAAAACATAATAAATATGTAAATATATTCTTAGAAAACAAGGCTAGGAACTGACAATGAGGACAGACAATTACAGTTCTCAAATTAATTTAATTAAATTCTTTGCACAGATAGGATTTTTACTTTGCCTTTCCACTTATTCACACAAAATGTTAACATTGTCAGACTGCAGTGACTCTAACTCTGTATTGTACATGAAGCCTATCAACTCAGCCTTTTCATTAAGAGAGGATTTGTCATTCTTTTGTCCCATTGTATTTCTGTAAATGCTTTCATTTCAATTCAATACAAAGATGATTACATTTATTGTAAAGACTGTTAAAACTTTGTTTTTCAGCTTCATTACCCGAGTATAAAAAAGTCATAAGATCAAACAAAGGAGCCTGAAACTTTTTCTCTACATATGTGCTCCTCCTTGAATCATCACTTTATCGTGGTGGAAGAGTTTGTGTGCCTGAATGATCGTAGGAGCTATGCTGTCGGGGGCAATTGTAATTGCCCCTAGTAGGGTCTCCCAAGGCAGATTGGGCCTGGGTGACTGACAGGCCAGACAAAGAGCAATTCCAAAGACTCAAATGGACAAAAAAACAAGGAGATCAGTGTCCCTTGCCCAGACATGGGCTACTGGGGCCCCACCTTGGAGCCAGGCCTGAGGGAGGGTTAATCAGCAAGTGCATGGTGACCGGGTCTCTACCCATGGGGCCCGGTCGGGCTCAGCCCGAATGAGCAACATGGGTTGCCTTCATGTGGGACCAACACCTACAGGAAGGGGCCATACAAGTCAGGTGCATGACTCCACGGGCAGTTGAAATGAGTTTCCTCTGAAGGGTAGCTAAACTCTCCCTTAGAGATAGAAGTTCAGTTCTGAGAGACTCGGAGTAGAACCGCTGCTCCTCCACATCCAGAGGAGTCAGATGAGGCTGTTCAGGCATCTGGTAAAGTCGCCCCCTAGGTGTTGCTTCGGGCATGTCTGACTGGGAGGAGACCCTGGGGAAGACCCAGGACACGCTGGAGAGACTACGTCTCTCGGTTGGCCTCGGAATCCTCCCAGAAAAGCTGGAAGTGGTGGGTGTGGAAAGGGATGTCCGAGCCTCCCTGCTCAAGCTGCTGCTCGCATGATCTGACTTCGGAACAAGTGGAAGATAATGCATGGATGGATGGATATGTGAAATAAACAAATATTTCAGGTTTTTCATATGTGCATTTAATCAAAACAAAAGTGAAACTACAAACATCAGTGCCTTCACACTTTCCTGTCAGCAGCATGTCGCCTGAAGGCTCTCATCTGTTTTACACTGAACTTTGCTTCTGATCACTTGAACGAGGTTCTGTTTATTAAGTAATACATGATTTGGTGCATAAACAAAAACATTCACCCAACATCCTCTGTAAAAACCTTTTTTATTGTTGTTATTCTGAAGATATATTAGTAAATGTGATCAGTTTTTTATTCATGTAAGAAATGTTTATTAATTGGTTCACAATACACTTTGCTCCATCTTGCCTAGAATGAACTGAAATGCCTTTCTACAAAATACCAAATGTTAAAATATGACATATGCAAGTGTATGCAGATATTATTTTTATACTGAAAGCACCAACAAACACATAAATACTCTCCTTTTAACAACAAGCAAACATCACAACAAACCAAGCTTACCATTTCCAAAGGAATAACTTTTTATGAAGCTTAAATGCTAAGTGTGTTTTGGGGTCTTTGAAGAACTTTACATTAATAATTAATTCATTCAACAAAACATCCATCATCTTTAAAAATGCTGTTTAAAAGGATGTGGTCCACAATCAAAGAAATGCAGTAATTCTCTAATGAAATCCATTCCTTCTGGTTCATGTTTACTATATGAATCTGCAAAGGTTAAGGTGTACTGGAG